GATAGCATGGGATGTACTTCATCAGCCTTGTCCAGTCAGCCTTGTCCTGGGTGAATACAGTTACTTAAGGGATGTTCTGCAATCAAAGGGCAGGTCTTTCAAGTGTTTTTACTGACTGTCCAGTGGCTTAACAGCTGGAAAAGCAGAGATAACTCTGGTCTGTTTGGACAACAAAAAGCCTCATTGCACAACAACATGTGCATTTGCAGCGCAGGAATGTGGCAGTGCAGGGTGGGTTAGTAGTGGGTAATCCTTCCCCAGGTATGTTACACTGGCTGACTCTATTTGAGCTTATTTTTAGCCTAATCTCTCCCCTGACCCCAATAAAGTCACAATCTGAGCATCTTTGGATGTCTTGGACCTGATAACATCTGTACAAGTCAGAGGTATGGAGATGCTGTATAACTTGCCCCAAGCTGCAAATGGAATGTGGAGCACAGCAAGGAATTGCTGGTCCTTAAATGCCAGCTCATCCAGCCTCTCTGCCCCAGAGACTTTCTCCACTGTGATCAAGTGCTTTTAACCAGCCACTGTGAATTGGGTTGAATTCAAGGGATCTTGGTGATATTTTTCAGGCCAGGTACAGGCACTGGGTCTAATACCTACTGGACAATAGGAAACACTATATGCCTTAATCCTTACCCACAGAGATAATTCATACTGCCTGTATTCATTACACTAGATGCTAATACTACCTGCACAAAATACAGCATCATAACAATAAGATAATCAACACTGTTCTTTAAGGGGGCTACAGCACCTCCCATATGGAGACAGGCTGAGAACATTGGGGCTGTTCAGCCTGGAGAAGAGGAGCTGCTGGAGACCTCAGAGCAGCTTCCAGGGTCTGAAGGGGGCTACAAGGTTGCTGGAGAGGGACCTTCATCAGGGACTGGAGTGATAGGACAAGGGGTGATGGGTTCAAACTGAAACAGGGGAAGTTCAGGTTAGATCTAAGGAAGAAGTTCTTTACTGTGAGGATGCTGAGGTGCTGGTACAGGGTGCCCAGAGAAGTGGTGAATGCTCCATCCCCGGCAGTGTTCAAGGCCAGGTAGGACAGTGCCTTGGTCTGCATGGTCTAGAGTGAGGTGTCTCTGCCCATGGCAGGGGCTTGAAACTGAATGATCTTAAGCTCCTTTCCGACCCAAACTATTCTATCATTCTATGATTCTACAGCTCTGAACCTATGTCTATAATGTTTCCTACCATAAAATTCATACTAAAGCAGTTACTCCAGATCAGAGTTGCTTTACTTTTCCCATCTATAAGAGGTAACCTCACTGGAGAACCATATGTTTACACTGAGTCCTCAATGCAACTGCAGCCTTTGGAGAAGTGCAGTTGCTGCCCTTAAGAAAAAGAAACCACCCACTTTATTGTCCTGCTATTTAGTATTTAAATAAACAAGCTTCAGTTTGATCCTGGAGGAACAGGAGTCTCTTGCATAAATGATAGATTGAGTTGTTTAAAGAGCCTGTCATCAATTTTAGGCCTTTTGATAAGGGTGGAAAAGATAAAAGAACTGATAGATGATCTTAAGATCCTTTCCAACCCTAACTATTCTATGATTCTATGATTGACCAGCAATGTCAAGAAGCAACTTGTTTGGGCAGAAAACCCCAGCCTTGTTCTTTCAAGAAACGATGTGCTTGTGTGTCACCCAGCAAACAGCTCGTGGACCTTTACCTCAGTACCCTGAGAGTAAATCAACCTTCAGCTTTAGGTAGTGGTGTGATGCCAGATCAGCTGTACCAACAGAGCATGCTGCTGACAGAGGGTGCAGATAACAGCAGGAGGGAACAAGCCCTGTTTGTGTTTGTTAGGGGTTTACAAGGCAGGAGGGGAGGCCAGCCTTCATATCAACGTGAAGTTGCAGCACTTGGGAAAACAGTCCTCTTCCTGGTCCTGCCCTGGCCCAGCCCAGGCACTGACCGTCAGGTGAGTCATTCCTCCTCCTCCTCCTCCTAACCCTTCCCAGAACTGAGAGGGTTGTTTTTGAGGCTGGCTGTTGGTGACCTGGATGGAGAGTGCAGTTACGTGCTATTGCCAGTTCCACAACAGGTACCCATCAAGGAGTGGTGAGTTCCACAGGTTAGCGCCGTGTCCATAGGGGCTTCCTACCCTTCTTTGCTGAGTCTATCCCACTCGTGGCTTCTCCCAGTTGCACCTTTTATAAACTGTCTACTCCTCCCCACCTCCAGCACTGCATACAAAACCTCCAGATATATCCACAGAGAGGACATATCTCCAGAGAAATCCAGAGGAAAATCACTCAGCGGTCGATCCTGGACTCCTTCCAGAATATGTACAAAGAAACTGGGAGGAAGAATCATCCCTTCAGCCTGTAAGAGTTTAGACATCAGGTCTCAACCATGACCATGGGAAAGTCCCCCCTTGGCTCCAGCAAGAAGCTCCTAAACACTGTGCTCCAGCAAGTAGACATCATTGCCACATGGGACCAATATAACGGCATAGGCAAAGAGCCCCCATTCATGCTAAAGACTTTCAACACCTCCTATTTTCAGCAGAAAGGGCCACTGTAGCCAAATAGCTTGGTGGGAAAGGCCACTGGATGTGGACATGTCTGACTGCCTTGGGAATTGTTTCAGAAAGTGGACACAGGGCAGTAGTGTGTCAAAGACCTTCTTATAGTGCAGGAAGATGATCCTCTGGACTAAAGAGATCATGGAGCTGGTCAGCCATGCAGAACACAGCCTGGCTGGGAGATGTACAGCTGGATGAGCTCCCTTTTCAGTGGCTAAGACTCAGGAGATTGGCAAAAGCCACATTAAATCACTCCACATGTCCCATATCCTCCTTCTGCCAATAACCAGACTCGACTCATATGAGGAAGGTGGTTCATTCCAGACTTTTCTTTGGGAAAACCCCTTCCCTGCTTCCTACAATTTAGCAGCTTGTTAATGCTTCGCATCCCAAGGATTTATGTGCTATTCTCTTTCACAATAACAGACAGTGCCAGTATCTCCTGACATCCCATTGATGTAATCCAAAATGTGATGCTGGCCCCTGTCCCATGCCTATGGGTCCCCGGGATGACACTCCAGTTCAAATAGTTCTTAGAGTACAAGAGAGGAAAATAGGGCTTCTGGCCAACCACCCTCCTCTTCTAGTCCTCCACCCACTGCTGTCCTGACTTCACAGCTCCTTGACTTCATGGGTCTTGTCTCTCCCAGGCCCATCTATAGACTCTGATGACACAAGCCCTGTCTTTTGTTGTGTATTATGGGGAAGCACATGTGACACAGTGGCCTTCTCCAGAAGGTTTTCTACCTTGTTTTTCAGATCTCTTCACATGCGTGGTGCTTGGGCTCAAGCTGGGCTTAAACCATGACATGCCTTTGCCAAACACTGCACATGATCTCCCAATGCAAGGGGGGAGCACCCAAGTTTACATCCATAAAATAAACAATGTGGAGAAGGCAAACTGTAATTTAGAAGCTATAAGTATATAGAGGGGCTATAACTGTACAGGAAAGATGTTAAAACTGCCTTGCACACAGACACCTCATTGGTACCAGCATCTGAGAGGGCTTGAAATGGTTTTCCACATATTTGAAGCTTGCATGGTTGCCACATTTATTATAGCAGTAAAAGTGGGCAAAACACAATGATATCAGTGCCAGAGGTTGCACTAAGTCCCTCCTTCATCAGATGTGAACCACATCTATATGTCACAAGTAGAGAAAGCCACTCTGGCTTCAGCAGGGAATCCCAGGAAGGCAGAAAGATCAGTGTGTGAAGAAGGGAAATTCCTATTAAAAGGAAGAGAATAAAGGACTCTGTGGGTATTCTCATGATCCCAACAAATCTTTAGGAAACACCAGTCTCATCCTACCCTTCAGCACTCATAAACCTGCCCTGAGAGCAGCTCAGAAGGAGTCAGCCCCATGTCTTTCCCTAATTCCCCTTCTCTCGTTTTCCTTCATCTTGTCCCCACTTTTGACTCCTCCTCATCTCTCATCTGGGGTGGAATTGTGTGTGCCCATAAGTGTGTGTGCCCATAGGCGTGTGCTCACCTCCATGATTCAGAACCTCCAGGAACCCAGAGAGGAAAATGCAAGCCCTGATCTTTACTTTCTCCACTCTCCCATGTCTGAGAGACAACCCCACAGAACCTTTGAGATTAACACCTCTTCAGCTGGTGACAGAACCTAGGCAGTGGCATAGGGAATGAATCAAGGAGGAATCTGGAGAAGAAAGCTTAGCACCTTCCCTTTAGAGACAGAGACCTTCAAGGGATGCCACTTAAGGCCAGTATGGAGAATGGAAATCTCAGAATTAGAACTGGTTGACCAGAACACCATGGGGACACACTTTACATCCCACTCCAGTGGTTATTGCCCACCATGGTGCTCTGGATGTGATACCCACCATCCCAAGGACACTAGAGCTGTGGGAAGGTGACTGAATGGCTGTATGCACATGTAGCAGGGAGGCGAGCACTGCTTTTGTCTTGTATGGTAGATAACAAAGCACAGGGTCCCCAGGCCTCTAGGTTCTAAGTTCTCCATCAGGTGTGATTGGTCTTCACAGCTTTTCTTAGGGTATATGCCCTCCAGAGGTTGTCGTAAGCCAGAGCCCCTCAAGCTTTGGAGGTACAGTTGTTGCCTCTGCTCTGCTCTGCCATGGCACCTCTGAGCACATCATCACTACACACCAGTGATGAGGACTGAACACTGGCCAGACATGAAGCACCCCCACTGCAGTCACTGCTGGGTGCAGAACTACACAACTAAGTGATAAACAGGTAACGCAGTCACACTTGATTCAGGAATAAGTATATTTTAGGTGTTACACAGGTAGCATGCACACTTATTGTCTTAGCTGGTAGCACTACAGCAATACAATTATAGGTATTAAGAAGCTATCATATGGCAAAGATCTGCCATCAGCTCCAAGGGTTCTGTGTGCTCAATGCACCGCATTGCTCCTGCTTACAATTCCTGACGTAGGAGGGGTTGCTCCAAGACTTCCTGTGGTCATGGAAGTCCTCTGCTGTTCAGGAAGATCCAGAGCACGCTGGCTGCCATCCCTGCTGCCATCCCATAGCTGCTCCTCACGCTGCCCGCTGCGTTGACATTGCAGAGGTCGCTGCTGCAGCAGGAGATATTCCTGTTGCCTACACTGAAGTCCTGATAGAGCGGATCACAGGACGAGTCACAGCCCTTGCTGATGATGCTGAAGAGCCCTATGACCCCTGGAAGGAAAGCAGGACTATTACTACAGGGATTCAAAGCCAGCCAAGCCATGTCTTATGGAACTGAATAATGAGATGCTGTTCCTCTCTGAGCTCAGTTCTTGGGGAAAAATAGAGTGTTTCTAACCAGCTGCATGTTTTATTGTAGCAGGTTGTGGTTCTGGGTTGTCACTTCGTCAGCAGCAAAGGAAGGGTTTCAAACCCCAAGTGTTCGCTTAAGGCAATGCATTCCACTGCACAGTTCTCAGGGGGTTCTAATCCAGCACCAGTCATTAACACCTTTGTTGGGGAGTCTAAGCTACTAATGGATAAGGAACAAGCATGTGGGGTAGTCATCGCTCATATCCTGTACATCTTTGCTGCATGGAGCCTTTCAACACCCATGGAAGTTATGGAAAGTTTCCTATGGAGACAGGAGCTGGGCTTGTTCAGCCTGGAGAAGAGAAGGCTCCAGGGAGACCTTAGAGCAGCTCCAGTGCCTAAAGGGGCTCCAGGAAACCTGGAGAGGGGCTTTGGACAAGGGCCTGTAGGGACAGGACAAGGGGAATGGCTTGAACCTGCCAGAGGGGAGATTGAGATGAGCTCTGGGGCAGAGGCTGTTCCCTGGGAGGGTGCTGAGGTGCTGGCACAGGGTGCCCAGAGAAGCTGTGGCTGCCCCATCCCTGGCAGTGTTCAAGGCCAGGTTGGACACAGGGGCTTGGAGCAACCTGCTCTAGTGGAAGGTGTCGCTGCCTGTGGCAGGGGTTGGAGCTGGATGAGCTTTAAGATCCCTTCAACCCAAACCATTCTATGATTCTATGGAACACGGCTGTCTCCATTTCACAGATGACAAAGTTATTGCTTGATTTGTTTCTGAGAGGCACAGCCCAGTTTTCTGTGGCTGGTTACCAGCAGGTTACAGTCTTCATGAGATCTCCTGATCCTGCACAACCTACTCAGGGCACCAAGTCTTTCACATATGCAAATCCAGTGTATAGCACCAGTGGGTTCTACAACGTGTTGGCACTTCTGCATGTGAAGTGCATGGCCATGGGTTTGCACATTCCCAACAAGGACAATGCCTCCGGGAGGCACTACGTTTACTGCCTCGCAGAGATGAGTTTGAACATGCCACTGATGGGTCTTCTGCCCCAGGTCTAAGAGCAACTGAGCTGTCACCACAGATCTGGCCCAAATCTAGAATGGGAGAATTAAATCATAATCTGTGAAAGGAGTTTACCCAGAGACACACAGATGGCTGCATTCAGAGCTGGCTGTCCATGGGCCTGGGTGAAAAGCTCTCCTTTTCATTGAACTCACCTAAAGTCAGCTCTGTCATTGAATGCTCCTCCTATCTTCATGACTACATTTCACCTGACTCAGCCCCTCACACTTGAATTCATGTTCCAAACTTTTCAAAGCCATAAACTGATCTAATGCCATTATAATAATATAATTTTTGATATTGAGGATAGAAATAAACCCAGTTTTGGACAGGTGAGGGTCATTGGTAGGTGTTTGCAATGTCAAGTGCAGATGCACCCTCTTGAGGTTCATTCCAGGCACTGACATTGTAGTGGCCATACTGCTCTATCTATAGATAATGCTCATAGCATTGTCTATTGGCAATTTAAGGAATTTAAGGAGTACAGCATGCACAAGCTAATATGACTCTGTAATCACACTCTCATAGCCATTGTGGGGAGAGGATTTGGTGATGGTCAGGACTAAGTCACCAGCTGTCACCAACTGATAAACGTCTTTCTTCTATCATTTCTCCTTAACATGAAAGTAATCTGAAAGCTTTTTTATTACCTTTTTCTCCCCAAATGGCTTTTTCTCTCCCTCCTACACACTGAGCTTTGCTGGCCATCACCAACTAGTGTATCTAGACTAGGTGAGCCTGCCTTGAACACCTGAGGCTGGCATCATGCTTGGCTCCAACATGACAACTAAGATATTGCCCACCCCTCCTTTGCCTTACTGATCACATCCGTCTTGCATGCTTCATTCTCCTTGCAGTCCATTTTCGTCTGACATTTGGAGTTACTGAGCTGTGATGTGCAGCTGTAACATGTCAAACAAGAACCTGAAAGAGACCAAGAGGGGTTATAAGACAAATCTGCCTGAAGTTCTCCAGTGAACTCAGCTTCGCACTTGCACTGGGAAACAGGACCATTCCCATGGGTCCTCAAAGGAACATAACACCTCTGTTATTGGGAAAACAATGTTTTGTTCCATTTTCAGTGGAGAATAATACACTTGTTTGAGCTATGAGTCAAAATTTGCAAGAACTGAAGATGTTTCAGGTGTAGTCAGTGCAGTGAGGGCGCAAAAAGATGCTGGATAACTGCTCTCATTGACTGGCATTATCAGTCAACAGGAGGTGCTTCCCACATGCTTCTCTCTCCACATTTGGGATGCCTAACTCAGTTCCTGTCTGGAACAGGGTTTTTGTGATATTCCCACCTCCTGAGCTGGGATGAAGGGATGAATTCCCCAGAAGGGCAGGTTGATATTATTTGTCTGCCTCTATAGTCATCAGTGTTTTACCAGGTGGGCTTGTGAACCTCAGCTGAGGCATTGCCATGGCTGGATGAAAGAGGAAAAGCCCAGAGGGAAGAGAGGGTGAGAAGCAGACAAATACTCTCCATCACTCCCTCTTAGAAAGCAAAGTTCAAACATGTCTTTCATGTACCTATGAAACCAGCTCACCACATGTTTCCACCCTCTCATGGACATGCCACACTATGGGGGATGCAGGTCAGTCCTGTTAACATCTGCGATGCTGTTATGTACATCAAGCAAAGGCAGGATAAGCATTACAAGTGTATAGCCCTAGTGACAAATAGTCCCCAGAGGAGTGAAAGCATGGTGCAATTACCTGTTCCTATTACCTACCCATGCCCCAGGGCATCATTGGAGCCTTGCAATTGTCAGAGTTAATGTATATAATGTATAATATAATGTATATATAATATATATATGTGCTTTAACCCCATGACCACCAGGCTTGTATCACGAATCTCTTAAGTCAATACCCTAATGGCTAAAACACTCTATTAGGGCATAGAAAAGCCCTATTTAAAAACCAGTGTTATTCAGAGAAGAAGCAAGAACTGATTTGCAGCACTTGCTCTCCCTCTGTTCAAGCCTTTCTGGTACAAATGACTAGTGCAGCCATAGAGGCAAGGAACCAAAACCCAGTTTATCTGTAATGCTGCACTTTGCCCTCACATTTATGTGACTTAATGCAATAAAAGCCAAGTTTCAGAGCACTCTAACAGAAGCTGGAAAAGGAGAAGGTCTGGCAGGACCTTACAAGACCCTTTTCAGCCTATTTCTTACGCATCCTCTGCTGACTGAGAACCATTTCTGCTCTGATCTGCTTCTCTTGTAATAGGGAAAGTAAGACTGGTTTAAAACCACTTTTTTCCCAGTGAGGCTAGAATAACCTGACACGGTCAAATCCTACCCCTCCAGTTAATAAACCAACACACTCTGGCATTCTCCCCTCTTCTGTCCCACTAAGATTCTGACAATCTGTGCAGTTTCAGACGCCAATTTTGAAACCAAGAGTCAAAAAACAAGTTGGAACAAACTTACCTTTGCAGAACTGTTGCAGGTTATTTAATAGCCTGGGAAGAAGAAAAAGAATCCTCCCACCCCACTTAATGCCCCCTATATGGGCTGGCTTAAATAGTTTTGATTTCAGTTACATTCAGGACTGTATAGGATTTATCTTTCCTGGAAGCTGCATTAGGATCACACCATCAGCAGGGTGGGACTATACATTTTTGTCTTGCAACACCCAGGTTATCCCATCAGAAAAGCAAATGTCTTCTTAGGACGACTGCATCACCATTTCTTCCCTCACTGCCAAATCCCATCACAGGTCTTTTCTCCTCCTTGCTGGAGGGGACAGGGGGCAGACTATCCATGCTGTCTTACCTGAGTCCAAGCACAGGACTGCTCCCAGCAGGAGGACAAGGCAAGCCTTCATTTTGGAATAGCCTCTTTGGTGTTGAATACGGGTTGTTTCCTTGAGGGGCAGTTTATATACTGTGGGAGGCAGCAATCGGGCATGCCCAGAAGGTTACCCTCTGTGAAGGCACCTGAATGAGGCTGCTCCTGGACCAAGGGAGGGGTTGGTTTGTGGTGGTGGTATTTGATTAGGTGCCTCTCCTATCTGACTACAACTTGCAGAGCTAAGAGGAACTCCTTTCCTCCTACCCTTGGGCGAAGTGTTCACATGGGTGTTAAAAACCACCCCAAATTCTTTCAAACAAGGCTGACCTTATGCATTTCTCCAGAGCTGCACACTGTGAACAAGCCTCTCCACCCCCATTGCTACCCTGAGTGGAGCTATTGTGTTCAAATCAAGGACAAAATGTTCTTTTAATAAACACTTCCAGCCCTTTATCTGCATGTGTGAGTGTCTCTGTGACACTCCCGGCATGTGGTAGCAAGGTATGTGGGCACATTGCAGTGCGCTGGCCTCTTCCAGGTGTTGATGTGCTCATTTCCACTTACTTGTATGTATTGTGTGTAGTCTATTTAAAGACAATGGACAATTAGATTCTTTCTGTATGCTGAAATCAAAGGGGGTCTTTGATGCCTTTGTTTGGTGTTTTTCTCTGCCCCATCCACGCTGTGGCATGCTTCTCTTTGCCAGTCTGTCTAGTACAGGCTAGGTATGTTTTTGACACTTGAACTCCTATCTGCATGTAGTGCAAACAATTCAGGCTTGTCAAAGAAATATCACTTCTCATCAGGGATGAGAGCCATCTCAGCCACATTCCACACTGAAGTGCAAATGTTTGCTTTTGTGGGTTGATTAGAGACCTTTCCCATCCCTCGCATCCTTTGCCTACTTCTCAAAAACCAATTCAGTTTACTGTGGTTTCTCACTTGATTTAGGGCTTTTCTAAAATCTCAGGAAGTTGGTGCTTTGCAGCAACAGCCTTCGAGGACTTGCTGTCATGCAGCTTAGCTCATAGGACACCAGGCACGTCTTCAAATTGAAAGGAAGTTGCTCTGGCATAGAATGGTTTGGGTTGGAAAGGACCTTAAGATCACCTAGTTCCAACCCCAGCCATGGGCAGGGACACCTCACACTAGACCATGTCACCCAAGGCTCTGTCCAACCTGGCCTTGAACACTGCCAGGGATGGAGCATTTACCACTTCTCTGGGCACCCTGTGCCAGCGCCCCAGCACCCTCACAGTAAAGAACTTCTTCTTTATATCTAACCTGAACTTCCCCTGTTACAGTCTGAACCCATCACCCCTTGTCCCTGAGGAAGGCCCCTCCCCAGCATCCTTGGAGCCCCCTCTCAGACCCTGGAAGCTGCTCTGAGGTCTCCAGCAGCTTCTCTTCTCCAGGCTCAACAGCCCCAATGTTCTCAGCCTGTCTCCATACAGGAGCTGCTCCAGTCCCTGCTCCTCCTCGTGGCCTCCTCTGGACTTGCTCCAACAGCTTCATATCCTGATGTTGAGGACACCAGAACTGCACCCAGTGCTCCAAGTGTAATATGTTCTCAGACTCTGATGTTCCTTATTTAGAGATATTTAGGGGTATTTTTCTTTTTTAATGCTTTATAAGTTCCCTTGTGGGGTTTGGTTCCTTGTGTTACAGGAAGAAAAGGTTCAAGGGGAAAGCATAACCTTGTCACTCAGGACTTGAATTAAACATTTCTTCCTTCCAACAACTTGAAGGAAGAAGTAAGCAATAGGGAATTGCTCTTTTTCATCCTCAGCAGCCTGACTGCCTGCAAGACAAACTCTACTAGTACTGTTATTTATTCTTATTCTTTCTCTGACAGCATCTTGGCTGCCAGCAAAGACCAGGACTCTCGGTGCCATGAAAGAGAAGCACACAGCTAAAAGCCTGTCCATGCCCCACTCCTGCTTGCCTGCAGCCCGAGGCTGTGTGAGAAGCCAGTGGTTCCTGTATCCTTCCATCAGTTGTTGCTTCTCGCTGCCTTTCCGAACACTTGTGTGCAGTTCCTGCTCGACTCCTGAAGATGGCAAACGTGCCCCGTCATAAGGATCACACATACATTAACATACAGTTGTCCGTAGGGTTGTGTGTGCGTGGTACCCTGATGTTATAGCCCCCCCAGTTCATCTATCTGCATCAAAACCCCCATCTATTTCCCCTGGGAATCTAAGGCTTTCTACAGATCGCTCTTTCCTTTAAATACCACTTTATGCCATGACTGCAGATCCCTGATAGATGTGGGTCTGGAGCTTTCTTTTGAAGAGGAAGGGAATGAAGACTTGATTATTTGCTCTGTCCTGGTTCACCTGCCTGGTGTCAGGCTGGGGAAGTGGTGGTGGGTGATGGTAAAGAGTATGCTGTCAGGAATTGCATTGAAGGGATGCATAACAGTGGTAGGCATGAGCTGGCAATTTGAGGACAAGAAGAGCAATAGATGAAACAGTTCCTGGGAAATCTGGGCAGAGATAATCTCTAAAGGCAAAAGAAAGTTGCTCCAATTTCCTGGGCCCTGGCAACCCAGGTTGCCTCTTCAGGAAGCCTGCAAGATGACAGAGATAATGTATGAAGACCTCAGTTGCAGAGTGCCTTTTTTGTGGGGGTGTCTTTTATGAGCAAAGAGAATAAAAACCCAATCCAGGCCCCAGCAAAGAGGAAAATAAGATAAAGTTCCACAGACTAATCCAAGCTCCTGCATGAATTGTAGTCCTTAAAAGAGCCGGATCATCAGGGAATCCTTTAGAGTCTACAGCCTCCAACCTCAGAGGTGTGACATCTTGTTGCATACCTTCATTCAAGCAAGTATTAAGTGCAAGAACAAGAGGAGATGCTATCGAAGGTTGCTCGGCTCTGGGGAAGGTCACTGCGTTGCTCAGCAGCAGTGTGGCTTCTAGCTCCTTTTCAAGATGCTCTGAAGTACATTTGTGGAGGTTGCAGTGGGCTTCAGAGGGAATCTTAGTGACTTTTCCACTCCGGAATGTGGTATGTGTGCAGCTGGGACTGTCTGCAGTGATGCCTGCTAATGTACTCAGGCTGTGGGGATGTGGGATGTATGATCGGGGATTTAGAGGCATTGAAACGGGTATTTCCATTGGCTGCACAGATGTGTCCCTGGGAGGGCAAGCACCATCGAACTGTCCCAAGTGAGAGCGGTGGGGAAGGAATGAGTCGGAGTCACTAGGTGGCAGTAAGGCAAATCGCATTCCAGACTTGTCTGTGGGGAGGGAAGCATGGATCCTAAATGAGGCAGGTGATTGGATAGACAGGAAGACAGATGGATAGATAAGGAGAGAGAAAGATTTAAAGAGGCGTAGATATACAGATGTCCGCAGAGATGGATGGCTGGAGAGCAGTCAGGAGGAGCTGGAGCAGCTGGTTCTGTGCACCCTGCTCTAACCTTGCACTTGATTACAGGCAGGCTTTGCTCTGCTTGGGACAAAAGGCCACAGTATGTCCCCTATTTCAGCCTAAAGTATTTCTCACCAAGCTTCCAGCTGTTTTCCACTCTCCTGTACACATTCCTTGGGATGAACAGGCATGATGCTGACCAGGCAGCAGAAAGCGTTGTTCCTGCTGCTCGGAGGCTGCCCTTGACTGCCAGTAGAGGAAAGTTCCAGTTGCTGGATCTGTAGATGGTTAACGCTGTTTCATGTCATGGTCTAAGCTCACTATACAAGGATTTAAACCTAGGTTTACTGTCCAAGTAAGCTTCAGAACACATGGAGGCAAGGTTAGGCTGCCTGAGACATCTTCCAGAGTCCAGCAGTGGTGACTGAAGAAGTCATTAGGAGAAGAACATTGAGCAAAGACAGAAAGGGCTCAATGTCACTGGGCTGCTGAGGGACCTTTGGCATGTGCCTTCCCGTCTTTGTACCTCTTCTTCCTCTAACAGCAAATAGTGCTTATGACTCCTGCATCACAAGGGAAGCGTTCTGAGATCTGTGGGTGCAACCAAGTACAACCAGTGAGCATCATAAAGGTTTCATAAGCCAGGAGCCCATTTGACCTTGAGTATTTCTACAAGGGTCCAGGCAGAGACCGAAACATCCCGCTATTCCCATTTGGGATTTCAGAAGCTAACCTGACCAGCCTTGGAGAGGAACTTCACCTTCACATCACGCACGTTGTTGCTGAAAGCCATGAAAACCATGCATTGCTGGAAATTAATCCCACCATGGTGCTTATCTTGTCTGAGGAGCGAATAGAGATGGGAAAGATTCTGAGGGCTGTAGTGGTATTGGAGCTCCCCATACGGTGGTGCTGTTGTTACGCTGCTGGTCCGAAGACCTCTTGGTGTGTGGGAGCGGCCCAGACAGTTTGTTTAAAATCTCAGCAACTTTCAGAGCATCAAAAATGCATTTGACATTCTTCTTTTTTTTTTTTTTTTTTGTGTGTGTGTGTTATTTTGCTAATTGCTGAGCTCTTTTGGTTGTAAAAGACTCGGGGGGTGGGATCCCTGCCAGCTTCTGCTGGTGATGCCTCGCGCATCTCCGAGTTGTTTGCAGGAAGAAAGGAGTGCATTTTCCTATGCCCACGCTACGGAGACGGGGTGAAGTGTGGGGAGAGTAGCCTGTGCTCTGATCACAAAGGAACTCTGTGCTCTCTCTGCCCTCACAAAACACTTTCTTACCCCCTCGCATACCAAGCGTTGCAGTTTCCTGCAGCAGATGTCGCTGAAGGTAGTTTGAAATGCAGGCAGAAAACATGATTTCCTGGGATCACACAATAGAGCAACATAGAATCATAGAATGGTTTGGGTTGGAAAGGACCTTAAGATCATGCAGTTCCACCCCCCTGCCATGGGCAGGGAGGCCTCACCCCAGACCATGTTACACAAGACTCTGTCCAACCTGGCCTTGAACACTGCCAGGGATGGAGCATTTACCACTTCTCTGGGCACCCTGTGCCAGCGCCTCAGCACCCTCACAGTAAAGAACTTCTTCCTTCTACCCAACTTGAACTTGCCCTGTTTCAGTTTGAACCCATCACCCCTTGTCCTATCAC